CACCTATGAACGCGGAGCACCATTTCTGTTTTGTCGACAAGCCCATGTCCAATCAAGCGGTCAAGCCCAGCTCATCGACTGCCATTTGGAGCCCTCCATCCTTCTTCCGATTGCATGTTCCAATGTAGGCGCATTACTACAGATCGGTCAACAGACAGCACTTGCCCGAACATTAGAGACCCTCTCGATCGATATCTGCTGCTTATCGGAGACCCGCCTGCAAGACTCGAGCTCTGTGCTCACTCTGCGATCCCCTTCAGGTGACACTAGCAGCACTTTCTCATTGCGCCTATCCAGTGACGATGTAGCTTCGAGCACCGGCGAAGCCGATGTTGGTATCGCCCTGAGTCCTCGAGCTGAAGTTGCTCTGGTCGACTTGATTCCAATCAGTAGCCGGATGTGTGCGGTCCGATTGGCTGGCTCGTTCAAAACTTCGAAGTCGCGCGGAACTGACAGGTGTCTATTCGTCATCGCTGCCTATGCACCCACAAATTCTAGCGACGACTCGGTAAAAGACGACTTCTATCGCCAATTGAACGAGCTCTTTTGCCACGGAAGAAGCTCGGACACTGTTGTGCTGGCTGGGGATCTGAACGCTCAAGTTAGAAAATTATCCACTAATGAACTGCATCTGGTCGGCCAACATGGTGTAGGCTCCCGTAATGATAACGGTGAGCGGTTACTTCATTTGTGTGAAGATGCTCGCTTATTTCTTGCGAGCACTAATTTCCGACACAGTACCCGCCGGAGGGTGACTTGGTGCCCACCAGCCTCGAACCAGCTATGGACGCAAATCGATCACATTGCGATAAGTTATCGATGGAGAGGCTGCGTCCAGAACTGTCACTCGATTTGGAGCACATGTGTAGACACCAACCATGCACTTGTATGTGCTAGCCTGCGGATGCGTTTGGGCGGACGCCCAAGACGACGTTGTGAGCGCATTGACACCAGGCAACTAGCGAAACCAGCTGTTCTGAATGCCTATCAAAGTACGCTGTCATGCGAATTGAGTAAGCGTTCACTCTATGCAGTCGAAGCTCATTGGTCTCATATTCACCAGTCCTTACTAGAAGCAGCCAAATCCTCATGTGCTAAGTCTAATCGCCAACATGGACATTGGGTTTCTTCGCAGTCTCTGGAACTTATCGATGCTCGCCGGCATATTCCGACTGGAAGCGAACACAATGAAACACGCAAAGAGCTCCGGGCAAAACTCCGTGCTAGCCTGAAGAGAGACCGCAAATCCTGGTGGTCTCATCGTGCATCAGAGATAGAAATGGCCGCTGCCCTTGGTAACCATCGTAAGTTACTCCGTCTGATACGGGAAACGGGCAGCAGGAGACCTGGTGTTAGTGAAACTATACGTGACGAGAGTGAACAGCCTATCCACAACTTGTCAAAACGCTTAGAGCGTTGGGATGAACACATTGAAAGGCAATTTAATCGGTTGGAATTGTTAGATTTCTCGCCGGCTACTGATCGCCCCGCTCCGTGGGTTGTCCCACCCTCTCGCTCAGAATTCGAACATCAGATCGGACTGTTGAGGTTAAATAATGCTGCGGGACCAAATGATCTACCTCCAGCCCTCTTCAAATTCGGGGGACCTGCTCTTGTGGATGATGTATACGAGTTACTAATGAAACTGTGGGAGCAGGAAACTGTCCCAACCGACTGGAGCCGCTCCGTCATAGTCCCAATTTTCAAGGGAGGCTCACAATCGGAATGCGGCAACCATAGAGGAATCAGTCTGATCTCCATCGCCTTCAAATTGCTTGCCGCTGTCATCCTTCACAGACTGACTGGCACTTGTTAAAACCATATTCGTGAAGAGCACATCGGGTTTCGTCGAGGTCGTGGCTGCATCGACCACATCTTCACGTTGCGTCAGTTGTTGGAGCACGGTGAGACATACTGGCGGCCCACCGTTGTTGTGTTCCTCGATATCAAGGGTACATTCGATTCGGTGGATAGACATGCACTTTGGGACTGTCTACTCAGGAAAGGTGTACCTGAGAAATATGTAAATAATATCCGAGCATTATAAGCGCCTAGCTTAGTCAGAGTGAGGGCTTAAGGCAATCTGTCGTCGCCCTTTAATATCTCCAGCGGTGTGAGACAAGGATGCCCGCTGTCATCTTTCCTCTTCAACTTCGCTATTTATGAAGTCATGGAAATCGCGCTCACGGGACACGAATCAGAAGGTGGATCTGCTCCCAGGAGAACGACTTCTTGACTTGGAGTATGCTGACGATATTGCCCTAATCTGTGACAGCTGTCAGACGCGCAAAGCGGCACTAGACAGATTAGCACTGGCTGTCAACCGCTTCGGGCTTTGCTTTGCACCATGGAAGATTGGCCTGGACCGCCTCCTTCGCTGATACTTGGTGGGGATCAGCTAGAAGTCGTAAAAAATTTCACCTATTTCGGAAGTTGTGTCAGCGCCCGTGGGATTGAAGCTGAAATCACGAACCGTATAGCAAAAGCCCGAGGCGCTTTTGCATACCTTCGCCACTTATGGCGCCGGCGCGACATCACTCTCGCCCTGAAGGATAGAGTGTACAATGCAGCGGTACGTTCGACCCTACTGTACGGTTGTGAAACCTAGCCCCTTAGATCAGCGGACATAAAGAGGCTAGTTTCGTTCGAGCACCAATCGAGGGGACATCATCAGTGTAGTTGGGTGGCGTGCAGTAGCGTAGAGGAGCCTCGGTGAGTTTTCTGGTACCTCGAGTTTTTACTGAATCTTAATCCCTTACAATGGCTAGGCCATGTCCTCGTATGCCACGAACGCTTACCACCATCAGCTTGCTCAATACTTTAGATATATTTCCCTTATTTTCCCAGCATATCAATTACAGCTGTATCTATGTCCATTGTGGAGGAAGGATACCAAGTCATGCAGTGCCCTGTTTCCTTTGTCGCTCCATCACCTTAGACTGCCTTTCACTCTGGCACAAAGTCGACTCATAGTCGGTTATCTAACTTCATTTAGCAAGCTAACTTGTTGGGACACATTGTGCATGCCACCTGTCTCACTTCATGAACCACTCTAGCTCATGGATGATCCTAACTGCGGTTCATTTCACCGAGCTATCCCTATACGCTGCCTTCGTGCCTCTCACGTATAACGACATCCTCTCTCTGTTCGATAGTGATATCCGAAAACTACTTACCAATCACACACCTGTTGGAATCGCGGAGACACAACTGACACACATTCCTTTACCTGCACGTAGTGTCCTGGATATTCAGTTGACATGACACCGATGCGAAATTGCTTCCATATTTTGCCGCATGGCGACCTCTCTTCAACTGACCTGTAGATGCTGTGGTAACCGCAATTAAGCCAATTCGCGACCCGTTTGACACACCTTGCGTTTCGGACCAAACTTTATGTTTCCCTATCTCGCCATCATATGAATGTGTGTATTACTTGTGCTCCGTTTTGAGTCGAAACTGATCTCACTTATTTCCTCGTATGCTTCTGATTCATTTACTCTGGTTGAATAGTAGAATGCGCTCTATGAGTTCCGTGAGATTTGTTCGTTAAAATGCTTTCGTTTTACAGGCACTTATTCACCGTCTGCTGTTTCGGAACTTGACGTTTATGTGTGTGTAATTCCGCCATCCTCCGAACGCTTTCTTTATGACTGAATTTTCTAAATTTTGGTGCATTCGCTGCTACGCACATACCGTTCTTGGATCGTTTGCTGATGCCAAAGTTAGACATGTATCATAAAAGCCCCTCGCACACTGAACATCTTGAAAAGTGATTGGAATCGATCAAAAACTCATGATTTCAGAAATGATTGATAACAATAGGTTGGTATAGTTTGTGGGCAACGTTCCGCCTCTGACACAGAAGCTTGGTCAGGCCGAGGATTGGTATAGCACTTATAGCGAAATGGGGAGGTAATCGCAACGAATGGTGTGTAGGCAGAAGGTCGATCGCTTCACAGATCAAAGCGCCACTCCAAGTTGTGCATGGAATAGTCACATATGGTCCGCGTTACAAGCTCACACACCTAAGCCCTGCTAACGATGGGTGCGGGGATGATGTGCTGTTCATTCTCTACCATGGATCCGTCCGCTGGCACTCCTCAGACTGGTTGGGTTAAGGCAGCCGGCCACACGTTCGAAAGCTCTGCCGCGTCCGTTATGTCCGCGCAGCTGTCCACCTTGCTGATCTCAACTGCCTCAGCACTCAGCCTTTGGGGCGTTATACAGCTGGATCTCACGGTCTGTAACTATCGCGTGCATCGCTGCTGTCGAGTCCTTTAATATAGCGTTGTATCTATGCTCGTTCCTGGGCGGCCGTGTTATGCCCCTCTTGTGTTCCGCTATCCTTGTGCGTATCTCTCACAGTTTGGCCGATGTACACGTATGCGCAGTCTTTGCAACCAATTTTGTAGACGCAGTTAGTTATCCTATCTGCGGGGAGTAGGTCCTTCAAGCGTACCAGTATCGAGCGGAGCGCTTGACATTACTGGGAAATTACTCTTACGTTTTCTTTATTTAGCACCCTCCGGATGTCCACTAAAGTTCCATTTTTACTAGGAATTCCTACCTCGCACACTGGTTGACTTATCTGGTTCTCGTGGTTCATATTGTATTCGCTCCTTTGTTAACTAAAAGGTTATTGCGTTGAGAGTTCATAGCAGCAGCTTCTAAGTCAGATGGTCTGTCAAATGTTCGGAAAAGCACTAGACTACCGTTCCTTTTTAATTGAACTTGTCATTGGTGCGCCTCCCCCGACTTCAGAGGATATGAATGCCCAAGCAGGTCGTCTAACTTCCCCAAAACTATTTTTCATTTTAATCTTATCTTATTACGGTCTTGCGCCGAACCTTGGTTGTTTCTACTTAGAGTATCCTTTATTCCATGTATCATCCTCTAGAGTGATTATCTTCCAGTTTGTTCATTACATTGAGCGTCATCTTTCCTTTTTCCCAACTTTGCCTTATCAACTGATTTTTTCCTTCCCTCCATATATTCAGACTTTGGGTTTTGCAATTTCTTCCGCCCCGGCGATCTCTTGTCTACTCACTGCGGAAGCCCCCAATATGCTGCCCCGGAGCTGTTCAAAGGTGAACCATATGATGGCCCGCTGGCTGATGTATGGGTTAGTCCTTTATGTATTGATACCTTTTGCACTAACTAACAGACACACCGTACCCAGTGTGTGTTTGGAGGTTACTCATTTTCTTGTTAATTTTGTTTGGTGTGACCTCGCGTACGAGAAGCGGCCGACCCGTGATCGAAAGGATCACACGTGTACCTTGTAACAAGGAAGTCGCTGGTTCTAGCCTGCGTAGGGAGCCGGGTAACTCTTGCAGTATCCGTAGCCCGCGCACGGCTGGTGGTGGTTTCGTGGCAGAGAATCGTCGGTACTGCGGATCGGCGAACTGCTGATGATGCGTGAAGCCGATTTCCCCCATAAGCATAGTGTGTGCTTTTTTTCTTACTCCCATTATTTGACGCTCATACATCCCCTTATTCTGCTGTATCTATTTGAGCACAAAAGTTTTACCCTCATTTACTTGTTTTCTGTGTAGACACATAGTACAATAATACATTGTGGAAATTAAGAAATGTGGTTTGAATATGTGAGGTTTGCTTATGCTACATTGGGGATTCTGCACTTTTTTACTTTCACACAACAGATAACCCCTGTTGAATTGTTGTGAAACCTGTTTAACTGTATTCCTACGAACCCGCGTTTTTAAGCCCCCGCATGCTCGACGATATTTTCGTTTTGGCCAAATTTTCGGTGTTCCTGAAAATATTTTTCCTCCCCAACTGGAATTCGTTACTAACATCAACAAACCAGCAGACAGTATAGGTTTTCGGTCGATTACTTGTTGGATTCGGTCAGTTTGGCTACTTAATGTTCACACACATCAGCAGTTGTCCGCTTTCAATTTTGTCCCATGCAAAGTAGTTGGACGGCCACCTCTCCCCTATTCAACGATACTTTTGGTTTAATTTGGAATGAGTCAAATGTGAAGTGATTGTCGCGACTGTCAGACTCGAATGGATTGACCATCTCTTCGTTCAATAAAAGAACTATCGGCCCTGACTCTAGACGTGTGTGCAGCAGACCCCAACGAGATTGTAACATTTTGGCTTATCTTTGACCGTCTGGCTTTGCAGTCAGTGAATAAGCTTACATACTTCCGTCTTTATTGACGTCGAATGTGCAGCTCGTTGTACTTATGGTGTAGGATTTGAGCCCGGCTAGTGTGTGGATGTAGTTTTGTCCAAATACGAACCGTTGACTTGAATTTGGTTTGAATTTGGAGATCAGTTAAATTTCGCATCCCCCATCGTCTTCGTGTACACCACTACTGAAGGCGGTGATTCCATAGGTTTAGCCAATTTTCAGGATCAAAACTTACCACCTGGCCTTCAGCACACCCTGGGACATAGCTTATGATTGGTTTTGCATCCCTGTCTTCAGTATCGAGCATGGCTCATTATGCGGTCACGTGGTGGTCGTTCTACGGTCCTTCCTGAGACTACGCTCTGAATTCGTTTCCCTCGTCACCTAAGTCCACTGTATACGGAACCGCAATGCCACCGATTTGAAGGTCACCAACGCGAGTGGGGTGCATGTGCGTATTACCGATTTTGCCATCGTCTCGATTTACCATGAAAGCATGCTCCAAAATTCTCTTGTCCATTATACATGTAAGCAAGTTTCAGACAGTCCGAAGCACTGTAGCAAGCTTTGTGCTCGAGAGCGTTTCGGCTAACGCAAGCTTATGGGGTGGTGGAGGATATTTCATTGACAACAGTCCAGCACTGTTCCGGTGCGTCAGAATCGCGTGTTCAAGCAATGTATCTCTATTTGTGCTCCTATCTAAATTAAGTATACAGTCAGTCTATCCACTGACATATATTTTGGACCAACTTTTCGAGATCCATTTATACCGTCCTTTCTTGCCCTCACTACTGATGGCGTCCTCTGGGCTCACAGACAGTGATTCTCAGCATCATTTACTCGCAGCACCGGAGAGATCGGACAACAAGTGGCATCATCAAAGCTGGATTCACGAGCAACCTCCTGATGCCCGCTTGGTGGTTAGGGTTTCTCCCATTCTAATAAATGGTTCGGTGGCAGTATTCCACTACGTCGTGGGTTTCACCTGGTAAGCATCCTCCCTATATAAAGCCACGTATGCCTGTTTAACAACACTGCAACATAGCAGATATGACTCGCCACTAAATTAAGTCACTGCTCCTTGCTTCTCTCTGGTAGAGTATTATATTCCAGCATCGTGATGCTGAAACTGTGGTGATGATTGCGCCCCTGTTTGACAACCGACCAAACGAAAGGTATATGAACTGAACCATCAGTCACCGGCTCCCAATGGTCACGGTTCCCTTAATTCGCTCCGTTGCCTTGTGGGCAGGCTTCCAGCCAAAGGCTCAGGGTGGTGTCTCCCAAATCAACACCCTACCTCGGCCTAGGCAACCGGGTAGTATCGCGCCCTCTGACGAAATCATGGACTTTTCTGTGTTGTGTTCCGTTTTTGCGACAATTGTACCTTCGATTTCCATGGTTCTTATGGCTCCATGTCTATACGTAGACTGTTGCATATATATATATATATATATATATATATATATATATATATTCAAAGCATAACAATCTTCTTGGATCCAAGGACCTTGCTGATTTGGCTACTTGCTTGTTGCTGGCCCAACTATCCTCTATGACTTTGGATAGAGTAGTGAGTATGGACCATGGGTGTATTTTAAAAGGACCGCGAAATGTTATGCATGCAGTTTCTTCACCGTGCTGGCCTTCCTGTTGCTTAAACACCACATTGGCGGCTGACCGATCCCCGAGAAATTTCACTCAGTAGTAACCATAACACTTTAAAAAGACTGATTGCCTCCCTAGTTATGCTCGTTCTTTCCCGTTTATCATTTCTGGTATGGGCATACATTTGGTCTTAAGCAATTTATCCTCTGCTACCGCGTTGAGATTATTTGCCGAACTTGCATCACTTTTTTGACTAAGTTGCATTCTTCACCTGCTTCCTGGTGGCCTACCTGGATGTGTATTAATTGCCAATATAGAGTCCTGTTGGGTTTCGGGTTAAAAACATGATCAATGAGTCTGAAGGGATTCATCAAAGAACGTGATCAACCTGTTCTTCCTGGATTGCGACACCGGGGTCAGTTAGCTCGTTTTTGGTGTTGTTTCTAACTTTGCTGATTTGGAAATTCATCGATGATTTTACATCCATTATCCTGTTTCCTACAATTAAGCTACACTTACAACGGTCGCTTCTGTTTACAAACCTTATTCTTTTGTACGTTTGTATGCTTGTTGTTGCCTATTTCCCCCTCCATTGTTAACCACTTTTATAATGACAACGTGCCCCATGCTGAGGCTGATGTTGCATTCTTGATGCTTCTTCACCGCAGTTGGGCTAAACCAACTTACACTTAAACTAGGTCTTTTTAAGCTGGCTAAATTTCATTCCGCTTTATTTGGTTTGTTCTGCCTCCCTGAATAATGTTCTATTAACTGGCCACGTTGCTTACACTAATTGCGCTTATCTTCGGTAATTTTGCTGCGTTTGTAGCATTTTAAGTAACTTGTGGACATTTCTTACTTATCACGGATTTGTTGCTAACCAACTTACTTCATATGGTAATTTAGCGAAGAGTTATGCCGCCGTATCTGTATGCATTATTGGATTTATTTTATTTCAGCTTGTCGTTTAAAGTGAATGGCTGTTGTTTGATATCTCTGGTATGGTTGCGCTTGATGTGTATGTTGACAAGGTGCCTACCTGTCTATTACCCACTACATCGTTCATACTGCCTCCAGGAGACAGTTGGTCGTTGCTGGAGGGGACGGGGTGCACGGTTCTTGTGGCCGTGCTAGGCTCAAAGAGCGGTTCCATGCACTCAGTGTGGAGCGGACTACGGTCCAGCCACCGCCTTGTGTGCGGTTGATTCCCCAAATACAGCGTGCTTGTGTTTGCCTGTGAAGGAGTGTGGGCCGGCTCCGTTGATGAAACGTGGTTCCCATCCGCATGCCTCCCGGTCTTATTCCTTCGGGTTTACACTGGATATGGGGTATGTGGTTGGAGCTGTGGGTGGTGCAGCGCAAGCCATCCATGGTCCCTCTGTAGGCGCAGGCGTCCTGTGGCTTGCCACAGTGACAGGCAAATCCGAAACCGGATGCCGCCAACCATGTATGTATGTATGTGTGCCCCATGCTGAGGCTGATGTTGCATTCTTGATGCTTCTTCACCGCAGTTGGGCTAAACCAACTTACACTTAAACTAGGTCTTTTTAAGCTGGCTAAATTTCATTCCGCTTTATTTGGTTTGTTCTGCCTCCCTGAATAATGTTCTATTAACTGGCCACGTTGCTTACACTAATTGCGCTTATCTTCGGTAATTTTGCTGCGTTTGTAGCATTTTAAGTAACTTGTGGACATTTCTTACTTATCACGGATTTGTTGCTAACCAACTTACTTCATATGGTAATTTAGCGAAGAGTTATGCCGCCGTATCTGTATGCATTATTGGATTTATTTTATTTCAGCTTGTCGTTTAAAGTGAATGGCTGTTGTTTGATATCTCTGGTATGGTTGCGCTTGATGTGTATGTTGACAAGGTGCCTACCTGTCTATTACCCACTACATCGTTCATACTGCCTCCAGGAGACAGTTGGTCGTTGCTGGAGGGGACGGGGTGCACGGTTCTTGTGGCCGTGCTAGGCTCAAAGAGCGGTTCCATGCACTCAGTGTGGAGCGGACTACGGTCCAGCCACCGCCTTGTGTGCGGTTGATTCCCCAAATACAGCGTGCTTGTGTTTGCCTGTGAAGGAGTGTGGGCCGGCTCCGTTGATGAAACGTGGTTCCCATCCGCATGCCTCCCGGTCTTATTCCTTCGGGTTTACACTGGATATGGGGTATGTGGTTGGAGCTGTGGGTGGTGCAGCGCAAGCCATCCATGGTCCCTCTGTAGGCGCAGGCGTCCTGTGGCTTGCCACAGTGACAGGCAAATCCGAAACCGGATGCCGCCAACCATGTTGCCTATTTCCCCCTCCATTGTTAACCACTTTTATAATGACAACGTAGTGCCGAAGACCTGAATCTACCGTTTAATTGAGTACTCGGACGAAGTGGATGATGAACACATGTGTTTCGGGCGTTATTGGGACCAGCGAAATGGTGGTTCAGAAATATCGGCCCGTTTCACTTGGAATTGCATATGTAATCCCTGCATCATACCTCACACTAAGTCAGTCCATTTGGCAAAGTGATCTCACCGTCCTCCTCTTTTCCCCATGTTCACTTCAGAGTCTTGGCGTGATCCTCTACATTTTGGTCTGTGGATCGTTCCCCTTTCCAGGCGAATCACTGGGGGATATCCGAAGCCAGGTACTTCGTGGGCTTGTACGCTTCCCATTCTTCCTCTCTACCGCCTGCGAACAGGTGATCCGTTGCATGTTAGCTGTGGACCCGGCTCGCCGATTCAGTCTGCAACAGGTGGGACGGTTGGTACTTTTACCCATCCGCTACAGTTGCCTCCGTTACTTCGCACTTGTGTTCCTCCATTTTTGCCACTTGTTTCCAACGTTGCTAACAACACTACGCACGTCGATTTATCAGCCGTGTCAACTGCGTCGAGCTTCCATACACGAATACAATGAAAGTGTGACAAACACATGATCTTGCCGTGTATTTTGCCAATTGTGTGACTTATATAACTTGTTGCCTACATGCTAAGTGATTTCTCTCTCATCCTATCTTGCACGACATAGGAATGCAGCGCGAGGCAAGCAGTATTTTTCATAAATGATGCAATTCTAACATCTGTCGCTATTTGCGCATGTATCAGACTCGTCAATGTGCAGGTGCTAACCTGTTGCCCTGTCCTTACGTGTGGACAGCTTCACACTGTCGATAAATCAAAAGAATTATCTAGTTACCTGGCCAGGTTCCATCCACGTAGAGAATGTTTTGCATATTTTTGTTATTTTTGACATTTTAAACTTTGCATCTAAAGCAATCGTGCGATGATCCTGGGTGTCTGCGACGAGTAATCTACCTCATTGATTACGGTTTGACTGATGACTATTTCTCGTCAATTGGGCGGTACTCCCAGCAATGTGGCGTGTTTTATTGCTCTTTTCAAAGAGTTGGAGCAGCGCCGTCGGTTTTATTTCTAATTGAACCAAATTGAATGTGAGTCGCAGCTGCAGTGAAGGCGAAGTTAAATGAATGTACTGTCCTTTTACCTGCGTGTTCCGCGTCTGATTTATTTGCTTATGTGTTATTGTCATATTCTTCAGTATTCAGTACAGTGAAGATGCCACTGAGCGAAGTGGTGAGACGTTTGCCATTAAATCACTCAGCTCGGAGGAACAATCAAAACCTTAACTGCCAACCCGAGCTACAGGTATTCCGAATCATTGCAGACGTAGTCCTTTTACATCCAGTCTGTTCTCGTTGTCGACAGTCTTCAGATCACAGCGTGAGAATACCCCTGGATCCCTTACAGAACTGGTGGGATGCAGCGGTTTGTCGGTCAGAGTGTACACATGACCACTACCACCCCACTCCAGGCTCATAAACGAGAACTTGACCGGGTTTGACCGGTAGATCAACTTCTACAGACCACCGGAATAGGTGGTCGAGGTCCTGCAGAAGGACATCACACTCGTGGGCAGAATCAGTAACCCTCCAAATCTTCAAGTTGTCTGCAAACAGTGCACAAGTCGACGGAAGAAGCTGAGGCACTTCGTTTATGTGGATTAGGAATAAAATTGGCCCCAGCACTGTGCCTAGGGGTATACCGTTAGTGGAGGGGTACCGGCCAGTTAGGTAGTCATCCACCTGTACCCGCCATCTTCTCCCAATAAAGAAGTCACTGATCCACCGGTGCAGTGCACCACTAACACCACACATCCTCAGCTTGTGGAGTGGAACCTCATGGTCACTTTATCGGAAACTTTACTGGAATTAATATAGATAACATCCACTGATTTCCTCCGGTTCAACGCTTGCAACCATTTCTGCCGCTTCAACAGCAGGTTGATGATGCACGAACGGCCGTTCATGAAGCTGTGCTGTGCAGGTGTTAGATCTTTCGACTCAGACAACTGGAGAAGATCTTGTTTCACAATCTTCTCGAGCACCTTCACCAACGCAGAGGTGAGACAAATCGGCCGGTAATTATCCACATTGCGCGGGTCACTGCCTGCTGCATGGCTCTGACGTTCTTGCGATCAGGATGATGACCATTGGCATCGAAAACGAAGCCAAGATAGACGGAAGGAAAAACTGGCATTTCTCGGCTTTCAGACGGAAACCGTACTCCTGGACCCGTTGAAGGACGGCAACCAGGCGCTCTCGAAGCTCTTCTGGGGTGCGACCAACAGTGAGTATATCGTCCAGGGACTGGGCAGTACCCCGAATGCCAGAGATCCTAGCGTCCATCGTCTGTCCGAAAATGGCGGGAGCGGTTTTGACACCAAACGGGAGCCTAGTGTACTGGTGAAGACTACGATGCGTATTGATCGTCAGGAGAGCTTGCGACTCAGGGGCGACTTCGATCTGCAGGTAGGCATCTGTCAGGTCGATTTTAGCAAAGGCGTGCCACCGTTGTATTGTGAAGAGGTCCGCTGGGATCCGTATGGGCAGCAATTTGGCTCTAGTGCTGCGTTGAGTGTATATATATATGGTTGGCGGCATCCGGTTTCGGATTTGCCTGTCACTGTGGCCAGCCACAGGACGCCTGCGCCTACAGAGGGACCATGGATGGCTTGCGCTGCACCACCCACAGCTCCAACCACACACCCCATATCCAGTGTAAACCCGAAGGAATAAGACCGGGAGGCATGCGGATGGGAACCACGTTTCATCAACGGAGCCGGCCCACACTCCTTCACAGGCAAACACAAGCACGCTGTATTTGGGGAATCAAGTGCCCACAAGGCGGTGGCTGGACCGTAGCCCGCTCCACACTGACTGCATGGAACCACTCTTCGAGCCTTGCACGACCACAAGGACCGTGCGCCCCGTCCCGTCCCGCAACGACCAACTGTCTCCTGGAGACAGTATGAACGAAGTAGTGGGTAATAGACAGGTAGGCACCTTGTCATCATGCACATCAAGCGCAGCCACACCGGGGATATCAAGCAATAGCCATTCACTTGAAACGACAAAATGAAATAAATCCAATAATGCATACAAACACGGTGGCATAACTCTTCGCAAATTACCATATGAAGTAAGCTGGTTAGCAACGAATCCGCGATAAGTAAGAAATGTCCACAAGTTATTTAAAAATGCTACAAACGCAACAAAATTACCGAAGTTAAGCACAATTTGCATAAGCAACGTGGCCAGTTAATGGAAGATTATTCAGGTAGGCAGAACAAACCAAATAAAGTGGAATAAAATTTATCCAGCTTAAAAAGACCTAGTTTAAGTGTGAGTTGGTTTAGCCCAACTGCGGTGAAGAAGCATCAAGAATGCAACATCAGCCTCATATATATATATATATATATATATATATATATATATATATATATTTGCAAAGGTCTACGAATAGGCATAAAGCCATCAGAAACTATGGGATTCAAAAGAAAGTACAGATATAGTAAAAGAAAACACAACACAACGATGTCCAAGGTTTCGTCACAGGGCGAGATACTACCCGGTTGCCCAAGCCGAAGTAGGGTGTTGACTTTGGGGGCACCACCCCGTGCCTTTGGCTGAATAGCCTGTCCGCAAGACAGCGGAGCGAATTAGGGGAATCGCGCCCATTGTTAGCCGGTGACTGATTGCTTGGTTCATACGCCTTTCGTTTGTTCCTTTTTCAAACAGGGGCCCAATGCTCCTCAGAATTACAGCATAACGTTGCTGGAATACAATGCTTCACCAGGATGAAGCAAGGGACAGTGACTTTATTTAGTGGCGAGTCATGTCCGCCACGTCACAGTGTTATTAAACGGACATATGTGGCTTTTTATAGAGAGAACGCTTGCCAGGCGAAAACCCACCACGTCCTGGAACACTGCCGCCGAACCATTTGCTGGAACGTTAAAATTTCGAACGACCTGCCTGGCACCACAGGGAAGTGGTTCGGAAAGGCAGCCAACCACCCAGCTGGCACCACGAGGAGGTTGTTTGGCAAGCCTGTTGAGACCGGTGTAGAAATCGGCACAGATGCTAAGGGATCCATTCGGCTTCTTGACCACGACGGTTGGCGCTGCCCAAGCAGAATAGGACACAAGCACCAGGACGCCCATGTCTTCCAGACGTTGGAGTTCGGCATCGACCAAGGGTAAGGCTGCTTATGGGACGGGCATTTTGGGACGGAACACCGCGGCGCGGGTGCGTGTACAGCGGCTAAGACCATCCTGGAATACTATGGCGAACTGTCTGATGATGTCGTTTGGTACTGGCGGAGAATGTACCAGATTGCAGATGGCCCGAAGAGGAAGATCAGCCAAGCCAAAGGTCTTGAGCAACTCGAGACCAAGCATGTTGAGCTTCGCCTTCGTGATGTAGCAGATCGCGTTAATCGTGGCGCCTCGGAAGGAGACAGAGCAGTGCAGCTGCCCAGATAGCTGCACGCGACCACCACAGGCGCTGGTGGCAGATTGGGAGGTCGGTTCGAACGGTGGCTTGCCAAGGGATCGCCAGACTGTTGGTTACACATGCGAACTCACTGAACAGATCCCACCAAATTAATGAAGAAATACTCTTATATGCGGAGACAGCTTTCACTTTCGGAACACACCATACAGCCCACTAGTCCCTGTACTTTCTGATTTATGCAAATTAGTGATAGGAAAAGATATAACGACAGACGTATCCAAGCCGCGCTGTTTGAATGATACATTGGCTTTTAATTCGTCTGAGCAGCAGATCGTGCAGTTCGTAGAGCAGCTGTGAAGTAGCAACTAATCACTGTCTATCACATTTAAACGTCCGTATCAGTCACATGGAGAACGGATTCGATAGCTAACTGTTGGTGCGTTGTATAGAGTTTTGAAGAGGCATGTCACATGTAGACTCAGTCCGACAGGTGCAGCGGAAAGTGGGCATATCATATTGCATATCATCTTCCAAGTTTGGTGAAGCTTGTGGCTGTTTTCTTTTGTTTGGCACATTCCCGTAATTTTCATTTTGCGATCAGCCCCCCGCTATTCCAACCTAAACCTTGCTGTATGCTTTTGTCAGGTAGTTTCCACGTGGCATATGACAAGTAGTTTTTTCCAACTCAACTTTACCGTTCCCGAACCCCGTTTCGTTTATACAATTAGTCCACTAACTGCGTTCTAGGTCGAATGCACACATCGCTCACTGGCTTGAAGTATCGGTTGTCTTTTTAGAACCAGTTCCATTTCTGAATGTGAGTTTGCAACTTCATTCCAATCGACGTTTTCATTCCCTGACACCCAGATCACAAACACTCCCTGGATGCAAGCCTCTCCGAACGTGTCTCATTATTATGCAATGATTGAGAAGTATAGAAACAAAGCCAAAGATAAAAAGTTTGATGAGATATTCCGATCTCAGTATCCGGAGCATAGCGAGCTCGTGCATAAGGGCGAAGCAGACCGCACGGAGCGTCGCCTGAAGACCAATCTTATCAGAGCGCTGGCCGTAGGAGCCGGATTCGACGAAGTTCTCGTGAGTGATGGGATTACAAACTCTTCTTATTGTTTTTACATTCTGTTCTCACTGTGGCAATCTGATTGCTCATCGCCAAACTAGTGCACTGTTGATGGACATCCATTTATAACCTTTGGTTAATTTTTCACTAAAAACCTTTATCAAGCAAGTGCTTTACTCGAAGTAAAATAGCCTCGAAAGGGGCATACACTCACCCATGAGGGCAAGTGTTAGACCACGGTAACGCGTCCAAATTATGGGTGGGGTGGCACAGTTGTGCTTGATCCTATGGTAACCAGTGCACCGATAATACCGTAGCTTGGTTACTGCACAGTACAACCCGTCCCCTCTGTGTAAGTGCGAGCGACTGTTGGCCATCATATGGATGCTGAGCGTCAGTACAGCATGCTTCTAATACTACTACTACTACTACTACTACTACTACTACTACTACTACTACTACTACTACTACTACTACTACTACTACTACTACTACTACTACTACTACTACTACTACTACTACTACTACTACTACTACTACTACTACTACTACTACTACTACTACTACTACTACTACTACTACTACTACTACTACTACTACTACTACTACTACTACTACTACTACTACTACTACTACTACTACTACTACTACTACTACTACTACTACTACTACTACTACTACTACTACTACTACTACTACTACTACTACTACTACTACTACTACTACTACTACTACTACTACTACTACTACTACTACTACTACTACTACTACTACTACTACTACTACTACTACTACTACTACTACTACTACTACTACTACTACTACTACTACTACTACTACTACTACTACTACTACTACTACTACTACTACTACTACTACTCTACTACTACTACTACTACTACTACTACTACTACTACTACTACTACTACTACTACTACTACTACTACTACTACTACTACTACTACTACTACTACTACTACTACTACTACTACTACTACTACTACTACTACTACTACTACTACTACTACTACTACTACTACTACTACTACTACTACTACTACTACTACTACTACTACTACTACTACTACTACTACTACTACTACTACTACTACTACTACTACTACTACTACTACTACTACTACTACTACTACTACTACTACTACTACTACTACTACTACTACTACTACTACTACTACTACTACTACTACTACTACTACTACTACTACTACTACTACTACTACTACTACTACTACTACTACTACTACTACTACTACTACTACTACTACTACTACTACTACTACTACTACTACTACTACTACTACTACTACTACTACTACTACTACTACTACCACTACTACTACTACTACTACTACTACTACTACTACTACTACTACTACTACTACTACTACTACTACTACTACTACTACTACTACTACTACTACTACTACTACTACTACTACTACTACTACTACTACTACTACTACTACTACTACTACTACTACTACTACTACTACTACTACTACTACTACTACTACTACTACTACTACTACTACTACTACTACTACTACTACTACTACTACTACTACTACTACTACTACTACTACTACTACTACTACTACTACTACTACTACTACTACTACTACTACTACTACTACTACTACTACTACTACTACTACTACTACTACTACTACTACTACTACTACTACTACTACTACTACTACTACTACTACTACTACTACTACTACTACTACTACTACTACTACTACTACTACTACTACTACTACTACTACTACTACTACTACTACTACTACTACTACTACTACTACTACTACTACTACTACTACTACTACTACTACTACTACTACTACTACTACTACTACTACTACTACTACTACTACTACTACTACTACTACTACTACTACTACTACTACTACTACTACTACTACTACTACTACTACTACTACTACTACTACTACTACTACTACTACTACTACTACTACTACTACTACTACTACTACTACTACTACTACTACTACTACTACTACTACTACTACTACTACTACTACTACTACTACTACTACTGGTAATAATAATAATAATAATACTTTCTACTACCACGTGCTGCAAAGAATCAAAGATTACGGTTTCCGATTCCGAGCGGACAAGTGAATTAAATTCTTGGGTTTCGTGATTAACGAGAACGGCTGATGACCTGATCCTGAAAATTCGAGAGAATAGTCCGGTTACCGGTCATTCCTTGGAATGGTGAGTCGCTATAGTGAATTTCTACCATGCATGCATCGCTTGCGTCATCCTCTAAACCATCTGCGGATGAAAGACGTCAAATGAAACTGGTCTGCACAGTGTCAACAGTCGTTCAAGCAACTGAAATCTCTGCTGAAGTCGGACTTATTGCTTACGCATCATAATCCGAAGATGGAAATTATCGTGGCCACGGATGCTTCAAGCTATGGAATTAATACTGTCATTTCACATCGTTTTCAATCTGGATCCGAAAAGGCTATAGCACATGTTGCACGAGCGCTGACGGTATCCGAGAAGAATTGTAGCCAAATTGAGAAAGAAGCGTTGGCTATCATTTTTACCGTGCAGAAGTTCCATAAGATAGTATATAGTCAACGGTTCACTTTGGTGACTGATCGCAAACCGCTTCTATCAATCTTTGGACCCAAAAAGGGCATTCCAGCATATACGACCAGTCGACTTCAGCGATGAGCTACTCTGCTCTTTGGATATAATTTCAGCATGCGATACTTGTCTACTGATTCTATAGCGCAAGAGGACGCTCTATCCAGCCTGATCGATACCGGTAAGCGTGAGTCAAAAGATGCAGTCATTGCCTCCATCGCAGCCGAAACGGATGTCAGCCACATGGTACATGACGCCGTGAGTAAGTTATCGGTCAATGGTACGATGGTTAAGCAAGCCACTGAACAGGATGTATTGCTGCAAGAGGTAACCTATACAAGACGGGGCTGGCCAAAGAAGCTTTGACACAGTTTTTCACACGACGCAACTCTTTGTCTGAAGTTGATTCCTGCTGTTTTTTGCAGATCGCATTATCATTCCAGAAATACTCAGATCACACGTGTTGCGGCAACTGCACAAGGCCATCCAGGAATCGCACGCATGAAGGCACTTGAGCACAGCTACGCTTTTTGGCCCATGATGGATAGCCGAATTGAAGACATTGGCCGATCGTGTTCTAGATGCATCGGTCCCTCCAAGTTACCGGGACGTGCGACATTACCATCTTGGCCAAACCCAGAACCGCCCTGGTCGCGGATACAAGTGGATTTCGCAGGACCAGTCGAAGGTGTGTATTTCCTCCTTATTGTCGACGCCTACAGTAAGTGGCCGGAGGTGATCGCAATGCAAAACACGTCGGCAAACAGTACAACTTTTGCGATGAGACAAATTTTCAGTCAACACGGATTACGAGTAACAATCGTATCGGATAACGGGTCACAGTTTACGTCCTGCCAATTTGCTGGATTTTGTGCACATAATGGGATTGAGCATCTGAGAACCGCCCCGTATCATCCGCAGTCAAATGGCCAAGCGGAAAGATTTGTTGATACTCTGAAACGAACATTGTGAAGTCAAAAGAGGAGGGATCGATGAACGAAAGATTGGAACGTTTCCTGTTGAGCTATCGAGTTACTCCGAATCCTAATTCACCAGATGGGAAATCACCAGCTGAAGCCCTTTTGGGTCGAAGATTGAGAACCACGCTAGATTTACTTTACCCCAAGCGTCCGCCTCTACAGCCAAGAAATTCAATGATAGAGCGTCAATACAACAGGCGGTATGGGGCACGACGAAGGATTTTCAAAGTAGGCCATTTTGTGTTTGCGGCTGCTAACCAAGGACGGCGGATCGCTTGGATACCAGAACGAGTCGTGCGACGTCGAGGCAAGGTGATTTATGATGTACAAGTTGGTACACAGGTATGGAGACGCCACGTCAATCAGTTGAGGTCACGGTATACACTTGGTGCGGTGGTTCCGAAACCCAACGGATTTGACGTCAATGACTTGCTAGACAATGGCAAGCGTAGTACCTCTGCACGTGGTGACGTTCGTCCCATGGAATGCATGGAAATGGAGCCCGGTACAGGCCAAAGCGAACACGGAGATTTGTGCAGCCGTTCCAGATGGATCCGCTTCGGAAGAGCTATGTGAACTCCAGGTAACTTATTTTGCAAATGAGAGGTATTAGGAGAATAGCTATCAGACACTCATTTCTTGTGGACAAGCTTAAGAGCCATTCTTTATTTGTCCTATTTTCTACTTCTTCACTTGTTTGAACTCTACTGGGTTAGCCCGATTGGTCCACACACATCATTGTTACTGGACGCTTATCGTTGTGTCCTTTTCAGCAGTGCCATTTGCAATAACACACCCCATTGCTTTTTCTCCTCATCACTGTTCTACTCGGTTATGTTAAAGGAATATTTAGTTGTCACACGATTATTGTACTAGTTTTTAATTTTTGGCTCTGCAATTCTTATTCTCGTTTGTCTCTTGACATTTGTTTAAACGCTACATTTCGTTATTCTGATTGGCCAGTGCCCGTCACTGTAAATGAATGTTCGCTTTACGCTTGGAGTCCCATGATGCTATCATTAAAGACATATGCGATTCGCTCTTAACTACACGGTTGCTTATTCGCCCGTTACATTTGCCGTTTTTCTTTCTGTTGGTTGGTTCAAGTGTAATTTAGTAACTTCCCTTCATTTTGCCTTCAAAACTATATAAGTAACTGTGCTTTCATGTATACACGTCTCCTTCTGGCTCATCTTTGGACTTCTTCTTGCGGTCGTGGGGTGAAGGCGTCAGTGGCGACACAACACTGGCTCACGGTGGGACAAGTGAAGCAAGAGAATTCCTCGAGGAATGGTTCTCTACAGAGACTTCAGTGAACCTTCGCATTGACCTCGATCCTGTGTAGCTACAGCTAAGAAAGCATGAAACTGAGCGGCGGAAAATCGAACCAACAGTGGTCACCTAACACGGATCATCGCGGCGACACTTCCCGTGAGACTCTACCCATCAGTACAGTGAAGATGCCACTGAGCGAAGTGGTGAGACGTTTGCCATTAAATCACTCAGCTCGGAGGAACAATCAAAACCTTAACTGCCAACCCGAGCTACAGGTATTCCGAATCATTGCAGACGTAGTCCTTTTACATCCAGTCTGTTCTCGTTGTCGACAGTCTTCAGATCACAGCGTGAGAATACCCCTGGATCCCTTACAGAACTGGTGGGATGCAGCGGTTTGTCGGTCAGAGTGTACACATGACCACTACCACCCCACTCCAGGCTCATAAACGAGAACTTGACCGGGTTTGACCGGTAGATCAACTTCTACAGACCACCGGAATAGGTGGTCGAGGTCCTGCAGAAGGACATCACACTCGTGGGCAGAATCAGTAACCCTCCAAATCTTCAAGTTGTCTGCAAACAGTGCACAAGTCGACGGAAGAAGCTGAGGCACTTCGTTTATGTGGATTAGGAATAAAATTGGCCCCAGCACTGTGCCTAGGGGTATACCGTTAGTGGAGGGGTACCGGCCAGTTAGGTAGTCATCCACCTGTACCCGCCATCTTCTCCCAATAAAGAAGTCACTGATCCACCGGTGCAGTGCACCACTAACACCACACATCCTCAGCTTGTGGAGTGGAACCTCATGGTCACTTTATCGGAAACTTTACTGGAATTAATATAGATAACATCCACTGATTTCCTCCGGTTCAACGCTTGCAACCATTTCTGCCGCTTCAACAGCAGGTTGATGATGCACGAACGGCCGTTCATGAAGCTGTGCTGTGCAGGTGTTAGATCTTTCGACTCAGACAACTGGAGAAGATCTTGTTTCACAATCTTCTCGAGCACCTTCACCAACGCAGAGGTGAGACAAATCGGCCGGTAATTATCCACATTTCGCAGGTCGCTGCCTTTTGGAATCTGCTACACTACGAAACATATCCAGTTGCTCGGCAATGCACTCTCGGACAGCGATCTGTTGAACGGATCCGCCACGTCAGGCGAGATAATGGCAGTTGAGCACGTCAAAATTAGCGGATGAAGTCTATCATATCCGGCAGGTTTCGTGCCGTCAAGACTGGCAAGTAGACTGCGATCATCTACACCGCGATCCATGCTATCCAGTTCAGTGGGGCCTGCACATGTCTAGCTCGGTATAGGCGCATGTCCACTTGCAAGTACGGAAGCGAATTGCTCCACCAACGCGGACGCACGTTGAGTGCTGGAGGTCAGAGGTTTTCCGTCAGTGCCCACTAACACAAATGTGTCTCTTGCGGTTCTTAGGCGCCGCTTCACATACGCAAAATTTTTCTTGGGGGCTGTTTTCGCTGAGGTTGCATGCTGCTCTTCGGAATGTCGACGCTTTCGCGATTTTGCGCTGTTGCAAAGATTCCGCTGCCTTTTTCATGCCTCATATTCGCCGGCAAAGGCAAACACGATGAATTTATTTCACAATGCGCGTCTCCAAGGAGCCAATTAACCATACTCTCCGTCGAATCAATGTGGTTTCATTGGTCCAGCTTCCGTATATTTAAGGGGTACGAAACCTGCGACTAACGATTCCACACCGTCTTTTATAAAAGACCCACAGGCTTCAATAGATGAATCCTGCAGCAACCAGTGCACTTCACTGGCGACCCGATTGAGACCTTCGAAGTCCTTCTTGCAGTACTTGTAGGATGACTCCAGCGCATGCGAGTTGGGCAGCGGCAGCTATAGGTTGGCTAAGACCATCGAGTGGTCGCTAGTTTCCATAGGCTCCTGGACCTGGATTTCATATACACGTTGCTCGCAAGTAGTTACTAGTTGGTTCAAGCATGATGGAGCGGAATGCGGTGTAACGGGCGTCGTTTGGCATACTTTTTATGCAGCCCCGTCTCAAATATCATCACCGCAATATAAATGGAAGGAGATAGGAGGAAGTCAATCATAATCACTTCACTCACGAGCTTGGAGATAAATAGTTACGTATGGCAACCCTAGGTAATGGACTGATCATCGTACCCTTCTACGAGGATCAGGGACCTGCCACTGCAGGATGCATCCTAGCAGTTGTAAGATGATTGGGATCAAACTGATACCGCGGTGTTTTGTACAGGGACTTTTTTGCTTCTTCTTAGGGATTAGAGTAATAAATGCCAACCGCTAATCGAAGGACATCTGCTTGCGTCAAATGCTCTCGAACAGAACGGCTGACACTCGTTTATGTGTTCTTCAGCGGCCATGGTGGAAGGTCGTCCGAAGTAGTCACCTTGCTATATTCCGGCAATACCAGTTGCTGTCGTTTCTGGCTGACCAATAAAAAACTTTTGTATAACTAACTTTGTATTCTCAGTGCAACGAGACATACCCAGGTACGCATGATCAATCAGCGACACGGGTTAATAGTACGTCGACCACAGTTAGCTCGTGAATCGCAAATTGTCAAGTGGTTTTCCATGCCAAGTACCTAAGCGAAAATGTTTGTATAAACAGTCTTGTTGCAAGTCAAAAGCTTTTGGGATTGATTTGTTAAAGCTTGTCCCTTCTTTTCGAGGGATATCCAAATTTACTGGATGTATACTCTTCGTTAGATGGACCGCCGGTTATTTCGTTATTCGTACCATTATTGGGACCTCTGAATTGGGTTTGTTTATCATAATACGTAATACTGTCTTCATATTTAATAATCGGTAAGATGCTGCCCATGCTAGGTAGGATCGCAGGAGACGCGTGTAGGAGCTGGACTTAGTGGGGACATTATTGACATGGCTTGAACTCTCACGAATGCAAGTTATCGCTTGTTTATGGGACCATGTCATTTCTTCATGGTAAATCTACCAGGTGTTCGGACCTCGAAGAAGCGATTTGTCCATAAAAACAAATCAGAATTCCTTTCACTGTAAGTTTTAACAGCGTCCGGAAAACTGTGTGCATGTCTCCATGAAATATCCATGAAAAGTTTTCGGAGGAAATCCAGGACGATATCATGGAGAGTCCTCTTGTATTAGTGAGAAGACCAAAACGAAGTATTCATGCCTCGAAAAAAGAGCATTCATTCACTGCTATACACAACAAAGAACCCTGTAAGTTCAGGTGACCATATTAACAATCCTGCTACACAGGGCCGGATGTGTCACTCTATAAACTGCTCGATCCAGCCTTCTAGTCGCCGATCGAGATCGAATCAGCCATCACAATTTTACCTCATACTACTCATTCCTGAACCTGTGCTTCGAATGAGTTGGAACTTCACTAATAGCGTTGGTCTCCTCCATCTCACAGACCCCCACTATCCACCATCACTTTCCTTCGCTTCCTTGACTCGAAATACTACTACCACTTTAGAACTGACCTACCGATAGGATCGTCCCTCGCGTTTCAACCAGTCTAGTCTGTCTCAACTCTGCCCAAAGTCTTGGCGTCTAAGACCGAGTAAACAAGAGCTTTCGGGTGTTTTTTTCATGACCTAGCATTCGGTTCGTGTACTCCGTTTGACAATGGTAACTGATGTCCTAGTGTAGACTAGTGTTACTAGTTAAGTTTCTTCTACAGTCGACGGCCACGCACCTTAACACTTAGTCGAGGAAAGAAGGGTGAGTGTTATGTAGGTAACATATGGGCATGATTAGGGCCGAGACGATGCTCCCAGATGGACTGATAGTCTTGTTTTGGTGCACGTCGTCCATAGCTGCTTGTGATGTGGATATCTGTAGTCCAAGGCAGGCTGTCATTCAATGACCACCATGTAGCTAGGTGCTATCGCTTGGAAAGTGCCTAGTTCAATGGAGCACGGAGACATGCAGTTCCTCACCTCACGTTCATTCACTTCGCGAACGACCCCGTGATTGTTTCCACTTTTAATGGAGCCATGGGGACCAGCTTGACCGAATTATGTTTCACGGTTTGTCATGGCTTAAAGTGAAATTGCACTTCGGAATTCCAACTTTCGATGGACACCTCAAGCCTTAATTGGTTTCCCAGCAGTTGTAACCACGATTGCCCTCCTATCTCAGTGTTTTTGTCTTACGTTGCATCTTACGCCTCGACTGATTGATCCCATAGTCATGGTTACGAGTCCACTGTAATTTGCCACAGAATCACGAAGTGACCGTTCAAACCCACCCTTAGTGTACAGTGACTTCATGTCGGATGGTATCTGTACTTACTCTCCTCTACTCTGCGGTTGAGCTTGTGAAGTCGTAAACTCAACACAATCAGTAGCCTCGGTTTTATTCCTAGTAGCTTCAAGTGATGCACTATACGATCTCCCGAACGCTACGGTTTGCTGTTTAATTGCTACGACTGCATCGCAACTGCGTACGAGATGTTTTCCTCCTTTTCTTTTCCCTAACAGGTTAGATCGTCTACCATACAGGCAAAATATGATCGCTTCCATGCAGCCTACCAACTATTGTGTGCAAAACTTCTTCACTTCAAGCGTTCGCAGCAACTTCGTCAGTTTGTCGAAGAGGTCTTTTTATTTAAAACCGGGGATCATGGAGAGCAGCACCATCGAGGTCTCGTAAGTATTAACGAATCTCCGACTGCCACAATTTCAACTAGGAGAACAGCTTCTTCTCAATTCATTTCTAACCCGGATACTTTAGATGACCCCGACGCTAATTCCCTCAAATATACCTTTTTGGAACAGGTTCATACGGTTTCCAATATGCTTATGGTATCAAGTCAACCTTTATCTGAGCAGCTTGAAGATATCTCCTTTTATTCAGATATCTGGAAGAGCACGGCTGAAGTGAGTGCTGTTATCTTTCCATTGTGTTAGTGGTTTCTTCTCCAATTCATATCGATGGTCTGTGTTTCACACGTTATTTCGAATCTTTTTTGTGTCGCCAACTCCAACAAGACTTTGAGTGTTTCCATTCTTTTTTTCTACCCATCAGTGTTGTAGGGCTTATTCCGATTGTCTTTCACTCCGGTCATCTCATTTGGCCACCAGTTGCCTTATATAGGATAGTATATAGTATAGTATATATATATATTGTATAGTATATAGTATAGTATATAGTATATATATAGTAGTATATAGTATATGAAAGGGTTATTGTAAAAAACAAAATTCGCTTGGAAGGTTCGAGTGACGCGTTTCCACCGGGATCAAAGGAACAACAATCCGGAACTGGATAACGGTACTATTTACAAATGAATAAATGACCATATACATAAATACCTCAACGATTATGCTTCCAAACTCCGAACAGTTACAATGGCAATCGTTTGGTCCGAGTCAACAACTCCAGCTACAACATACATGGTGTGTTTATAAGACGGGTAAAACGGTGAGATTGCTTGACCACGCAGACGGGATGCGGATTGGGTAAGCCTCAAAGGCGTGTGAATTTGGCCTGTTTGGAGCGCTCATCAGCTGGGTCACAGACGCACATAGACAAAGGAAGGAATAGTCAGACATAGATAATCGGTGGGGACAAAAGGTCAACATGCAGACATAATCGGTGAGGAGTGAAGTTCACCAGACGACCTTAATTAATGCAGAGCGTGGCGTTGACAATTGCAAACAAAATTATACGACGGTGTAGAGACAGTTTTGGATCGTGGAAATGCGAGATACTAACGATTTTAGGGAATGTCGGACGGAACGAGTTGGAGATTAGGTTTCACGAAGAAATGCGGAGGCATAGTCGACGTGTTTGTTAGGGGAAGAGAATATGAATGGCAATTGTGATCGCAATGTCCGAATGTTCTCTACCGTTATTATTTCCCAAACGGTTTATCGACACCCGATCTTGGACTTTCAACTGCAATCCGTAGTCAGTTAAGTGGCATACACTAAGTGTATTTATGCCCGACTTTTAATGCTCCGTCAGGCTTAAACAAATTTACTCACTACAAAACATCCTGCTATTTTTGGCATACACCCTGTTATTTTGGTTCCTTTGTGACACGGTTCGTCGTTTTTCTGCGAGCCGTCTCATTGGTCCGGTTTATCTTCCTAGGCCATCACGTTTCTTGGTGTCTCGTGGGTGGATCCGCATTGTCGATGTCGCTTTGGGCCGACTGTCCGCGAATGTTACCATCTCGCAGGGCCTGGTGACATGCTTGCTTCGTTTACCGACATACAAACAATATCAGATGGCTAATATTTCAGCCGAGCTTCCATCTGTTTGTTCTATCTGAACTCACCACTCAGCCTGTATTCTGGTCAGATGTATTTACAAACATTGATGTTATTTAATCAAAAGTCTCTTCTCGGCATTAGCTGCGGTTGTTCGGACGAATGGACTTCGTTCACAATGTTATCAGTCCTGTTTTGCTTGCCAACTCTTTTTTAGTAGTTTGTTATAATTGTTCGAATGGATGCATCAAAATGACTTGGATTGTATACAGTTTTAGACAAAGTTCTATACTACTCCCCAGTAGCCACACTATTCTATCAGCTTTTGCGCTGTATGTAAGTCCAATCGTTGTTTTATGCGTTTTTCATAATTAACTTTGTACAGGGTGTTTTAATAATCAGGTCCCGCGCTAGGAGCGGCTGCACTCAGGTGCTGGCATACCCCGGTACCCTAACTTGCTAACTGTCCAATGACGCAAATTGCTTTGCCGGCAAGGGTGAGGGCACAGAGACGCGGCATGTTTGTCTACGATCGCAGAGCACACCGAACTGTTCGCCTGTGAGAAGTGAACGTTAGCAAACAGCACAGCCGCAATCAATACGTCACGCCTCGACCGCAGGGCAGGATCAACGGAACGCAACTCGTTCGGCTTTGAAAACTGGACGTGCGCTAGACACCACAGCCGCACTGAACGTGTCATGCTTCAATCGATCACTCGTCGGCCTTTACGTAGGGGAATAAGCCAGCAAAACGGTTCCCTGCGAAGCGGTTAGTTGGTCGCGGTGCTAGCAATTGAGAAAAACAGCCTGGCCGTATGTGATGACAATACCCTAATGCCCTAATGCTATCGCCACAAAAGCTGTTATCGCCTCATGACTGGCTTCCAACAAACCCGTAAGTTTTTATTAGGCTGCTTTCGCTGCTCAAGGGAGTCATACTACCGAGAGCACATTGTAAGGTTACAGTGTTGTTCGCTTTATCTTTTTGATCGCGTGTGTGCTACAGCTGAAAATTCACCCTTCATGGGTGAATTATTGAATTGACTTGGTGTAAGAATGTTCTTGGATTCCAGTCTGCCCCGACGCAATGGTGGCACCACTAGAGAACACACCACTTGAGTCATGAATGCAAATATTGCCCTCAGTCAGGCAACTGCCGGTTGTACAAATTGATCAGGCCTTCGATGGTATTTCTTCTGCAAATTGGAGACTATACTTTTATTCATTTCATTACTTATATTTACATGAAATGTGTGAAATGTCAATAAATATCAACGAATTAGATATTTACAACGCCAAGCAAGCGGACAACCTCGCACTGTCACGAAGAAGTATCTGTTTGCGCGATTGCGCAACAAGTATGCAGTAACAGCCATATCAACATTCGGTAACACGCACAACATTGCAAACCGCGCCGTATTAAAGGGAAAAATTCCGGCGATACAGTGCACTGCGGGTGCAAGTGTTGGACGCATGCGATTCACTGGAATTCGCCCGTTTGTTTTTAAACAGTCTGGACGTGCATTCCATTTGTTTACTGATTAGGCGGAGTTTCCTCTGGATGACAAAGATGCTTGCCAGGTTTGGGCAACAGCCAACTCACGGCAGTGTAGCGCTTTACGTGTTCAACCTAGCGCGAATCTCATGGCCTGGGCTGGGTTGACTGGTCGAAAAATCATTGGGCCTTTTTTCTTTTCCACGAGTGTGTTTGGTAGGTGGTTTAACAGTACCCATGTCTGACATTTCTTAGCATGCTTGTACATGCAAATGTTGCAGAGCAGCGTCATTCCGCAGCTACAGTCGGAAGGGTTGATGAATAACAGCTTGGCGCGCCTGCACGTTCGGCACAATCGGTTTGTGCCTATCTGAACGAGACATTCGGTGGATGTTGATTCGGTCGCGGAGGACCGATACAATGACCTACGCGTCGCCAGATCTGAATCCCATGGACCTTTTCCTATGGTGATACTTGATGCGCAGAGTTTATAGAACGAAACCCAAAACCATGATGAACTACAAGTGAGCATTGTGAACGAATGTAGGCAGATTTTGTTGGAAACATTGCAAAAAGTGCTCGCCAGCACCATCCGGAGAATGCTCCTCTGTAGCCAAAACGACGGTGGGCAACTCCAACATCTAATTCGTTGATATTTATTGACATTTCACACATTTCATGTAAATATAAATAATGAAATGAATAAAAGTATGGTCTCCAATGTACAGAAGAAATGCCATCGAAGGCCTGATCAATTTGTACAACTGGCGACTAGCAATTGTCTGACTGTGAGGGCAATATTTGCATTCATGACTCAAGTGGTGTGTTCTCTAATAATGAAACCATTGCATCGGAGCAGACTGGAATTCAAGAGCATTCTCACACCAAGTCAATTCAGTAATTCACCCATGAAGGGTGAATTTTCAGCTGTAGCGCACACGCGATCAAAACGATAAAGCGAACAACACTGTAACCTTACAATGTGCTCCCGGTAATATGACTCCCTTGAATAGCGAAAGCAGCCTAATAAAAACTTACGGGTTTGTTGGAAGCCAGTCATGAGGCGATAACAGCTTTTGTGGCGATGGCATTAGGGCATTAGGGTATTGTCATCACATACGGCCAGGCTGTTTTTCTCACTTGCTAGCACAGCGACCAACTAACCGCTTCGCAGGGAACCGTTTTGCTGGCTTATTCCCCTACGTAAAGGCCGACGAGTGATCGATTGAAGCATGACACGTTCAGTGTGGCTGTGCTGTTTGCTAACGTTCACTTCTCACAGCCGAACGCTTCGGTGCGATCGTAGACACACATGGCCAGTCTCTGTGCCTTGTCTCGCCTCTGCCGGCACAGTATATAGCCCCATTGGTCTGTTAGCAATTCAGCGTACCGGGGTATGCCAGCACCTGAGTGCAACCGCTCCTAGCTTCGGACATGATTACTAAAACACCATGTACAAAGTACTATTCCCGAAGCATCTTCCGGTACTTCCAAATAATCACTATGTGGTTTTGTTACGCCCTACGTTTAAGCTTTCGAGCAATTTCTCCAACCTCGATATGCCTGATTTCGTGGCTACCGCCTACTGGCCATTCTTGTTATGAACTTTCCGCCCACGGCTCTCTTTCTTGGTATATCAGGTTCTGGCACATAACCATGACCAGTGCGCATTGTGGGTACTTAGAGGATTCTTTGTGCACTATGTTCACAAGGCGTTGCTCTTGTCAGCTGGGAGTGTTAAGCGGTCGATGTTGAGATTTGTCGGTTGTCAACGAACCATGGCTCTGTTTTGGGGCTGATCCCGAATCGCCTATTTGGATAGGGCTACGTTGTTTGCTCTGTCATCGCTCACCGCCTTCCCAGGCTTTTATCGTTTGCCGGCTCTCCTCTTTGTTCCTCGAAACACCGTTATAGGGAGCCAATCGTTCCACCAAAAATCAAAGATAGTTAACTGAACGATTTGGTCTTTGTCTCGTCACAATGCATCGTCTTTGTTAGGTGTCTTTCTTACCTACCCGGTTATGTACTTGCAAGTCTTAATGCGTCCATCTGTTATTTGCCGTTTTCTCAACTAGTTTTGATTTACTTTCTACTCCAAATTTCTTCTATTTCAGCCGAATGAATTGGAATTAAAACTGGCCCTGTTCATTCTCAGGGTGAGTCTAACCGCGCTTTACATCAATAATACATTTTTGTGCCATGGTTTCTCGCTCATTAATCAGTGGACTCTTCATAAATGTAGGTCGAAATTCGTCACGTCTAGCTTCAGTCAGATAGCCATCACTCCCGGAAAAGCTCTATACGTCCGTTGCATCTTTTCAGGAATCGTCGGCATTGCGTATTCTATCTGACTCCTGTGTGGCTCTAACTCACACCGCGAGTGTTGCTAGTCTGTGGTTGGGACCACTGATCCACAAGGACGACAATGACTATCGTAAAAACGTTACTACCATATGTTCCAAAAATCTGGTCCCTCTACTCTGTTAATGCGGGACAAAGGGTCCCTCCTTCTGGTGTGAGATAGAGCACACTAATTTGCCAACTGTCCAATAGTAGGTGCTGGTCTATCTCAAAATGTCTCTCATGGTCACATGGGTGCAGAACTACCGTATTCATACATGTGGGTACATATGTACTTGTCAGTGTCGTCCCTCGTGAAAACGCTGGATCAGGCGCGGGTGGTTGAGTTGGAGTCAACCTACGGCACGCCACAAGGCAAGTTCACCGATCGATCTTTACCGGGCTACTGCGGTAGAATTGTGGTGCCGCTTTTACAGGTGTAACTGGCCTGAGCAAGGAGTGTGCAATAGTTGCTTAGTGTTATCTCAGTTAATGACAAAAGGGTTATTGGCAACGCTCTTGTAGACTGAAAGTTACCTTCCAACAACCTACCTTAGCAAAATAGGCATTCCTTACAATTGTGTCCTGCAAATATGCAATGTGACGTTTTGAGAAAGGAGCCATGAAAAGCTATGCCGCCTAACGACTACTCGCTGCCGCATAGCCTATCCTTCTGTCGCAGTATTGGTCGCCGTTGCAGGAAACAAGTTTGGTTATCATGTCCAATTTGTTTCATCCGGGACCATGAGCGTTCGTTCCAACCTGTGTACTGATGAGGCAATGTTCAATTAGCACATAACTGAAATGCTGCATTTCTAGGCGGATACTGAGAATCACGTATTGCACAAAACGCGAGGCTCATTGACTTGAACAAATGAATGACAAATCGTGTGACCGCGTATGTGGGTTCTCACGCATACTGTGCACCGCAAGCCCGTTAGCCCTGACACATTATGCTGCAAACTCCGAATATCAAATTCAGTAGGATCGATGAGCCACGCTTTCAGGTCTGTATTCTTGTTGAAATTTGTTGAACCATCTTTCCCGTTTCTGTGACCGGTATGTTATTGTTTGCAAGTACTCATCCCACGCCAGAGTCTGTACTCCGATGAACAGGATACAAATACGAAACCGCGTATCCTATTCTTCCATTACGATCTCTTTCGCATCCTCCCCGTATTCCTTAGGCATAAGCATGAAAAACAAGTGTTACCATTGTGAACCAAGTTGCATAGAAGTGGTCAGTCTAAACGCTGTCCAATCAGGTTTGCCCGTGGATTGCATTCTGGACCGACGCACCCTTGTCACCATTTGCCCTGCACCAATGTCGTCCAGAAATCAGTGATAACGGTGAATTCGTATATTAACATAAACAGCATGAAACGGTTATATGTCCGTCAACGACGAAGCTGCTCAAGGTGCCCGCCGGCGTTCTGCTTGCACTGCAGAAATCGCCTGTGGCAATAGGCTATAACCTTTTTGCAAAGTTTCCGTATTGATGGCGCAATATTCACTGGCAATACTCTCTTTCAGTTGTTCCAGTAATATAGTTATTTTCTTGTGTGCTCTTCTTTTCAAATAACCCCATAGGAAGAAATGTAAGGGGTTCAAATCTGGTTACTGGGCAGACCAATGCTTTGAACCTCTGCGACTGATTCACCGGTAACTAAACACCTCCTTAAGATAATGCCGCACCGTTTGTGCATAATGGACAGGTGCGCCATATTGAATCTATAACGGCTGAAGCAAAATGTCGAAGTAGCCAACGATAATCAGTGGTGAAAACATCTCTATCTTGTAGCTCCTACGGAATTTTTCCGCGACATTTCCCTTGCCATTGGAGAACTATGGTAGACAGAATAATGGCGGTAATCATAATTGAGTTATTTGGCAAACACGAGGTTAACGTCGTGTGGGCAACGGAAGTACGTGACTCTGGCTTGCAAGAAGCGCATAACGCAGCTTACGGAGCTTCAACGGTTTCATCCACCGCCGTCAACTTTACAGCAAACATCAACAGCGACGCCTGCACCCTGTCGGGCAATTAAGCGATCGCGCGTTTCTCACGTACCCGTCTTGTTCTATTTTCTCGCAGTGTTCATTCCACCCCGACGAAGTACTCACACCATTACCCATCGCAACAATGTGGCAGTGAAATCAAGCGTTATGCATTCTACATATATTTACATTAAGTATGTTTCAAGAGCATAAAAATCAACGAAGTGGATGTTTAAAATGACCGCCGTCGTTTCGCTTGCAGAGCAGTATTTGCCCGATGCTATTGGCTAGCACTTTCTGCATAGTATCTACGTTATTTTATCAAGATCATTGTCATTTTGCTTTTTTCTTCGGTTGGGCTAAAAGTTTTGTGGAGCAGTAAATTGTTATTTTTGGAATTGCGTCTAGTGAGAATATTATAACAAATGGCGACGGAGAAAATTGGAAATGTGATGAATTTTTCTGCAGAACAATTTCAAAAGCTGCTTTTCCAACAGCAAGCTCAAATGGAGGCACAAATGAAAATGATTGAAAATCTGACACAATGCCTGAGTTTACAGACAACAGGAACAGCGGCGCAGAACACGCACGCAAGTTCTGTTGATCTTCTCACGAACGCCATCACTGAATTCAATTATGATGCGGATTCTGGATGCACCTTCGAAGCGTGGTTCAAGCGCTGGGAAGACGTGTTCCAGACGGACTTCATTCGTCAAGACGACTCCTGGAAGGTGCGATTGTTACTCCGCAAGCTCGGAATAAGTGAACATTCAAGGTTCATAGACCATATTTTTCCCAAACAGCCGAAGGATCTGACTTTTGACGAAGTAGTGTCGCGGCTGAAGGAAATTTTTGGTGAGTCAGTATCCTTGTTTAGTATTCGCTATCAATGCCTGAAAATTACCAAACAGGAATCTGACGACTTTGGGGCCTTAGCAGACGTGATTAACCGTGAGTGTGAACGTTTCAAACTACGTTCTTTAACGGATGATCAGTTTAAGTATCTCATTTTCGTCAGCGCTCTACAATCGCCCAGTGATGCTGAGATTCGCACGCGACTTTAGCTAAGCTGGAGCAGGATCTTGATCTGACACTGAAGGCCCTCGTAAGCGAATGCAAACAGCTGCTCACTCTAAAACACGACACTGCCATGGTCAAACGCAATGGTCTCGCACCACCAGATACCGTGCAACTCGTGAAGAAGGCCAGGACCGGCAACCGAAGTAAACCCTTCAAGAGGCCGACGAACAAACCGCCCACAGCATGCTGGTCATGCGGCGAATGGCATTTCGCGCGCTTTTGTCCGTTCAAAAGTCATATTTGTCAAACGTGCCATAAGCGTGGGCATAAGGAGGAATTCTGCACTCAGGTCGGGTCGAAGAAATGGAAGAAGTCTTATCGAAATGGGAAGTCTAGAAAGGATGGCGCCGAATCTCTGTCCATAGTTGCCGCATTCCAATGCGAGTGTAAACCGAGACGACGATTCACCGCTTTGTTGGTCAATGGGACCCCAACGAAACTGCAAGTTGACACGGCCTCGGATATCACGATTATTTCCAGGAGCACATGGAATCACATAAAGAGGTGGAAAACGGTCGAGTCTCAGAAAGCTGCACATAATTCATCCGGCGGTGCGTTAAACTTGGCGGGCGAACTCAAGTGCAAGGTTGCTTTTAAGGATGCAGAAAATTCGGGAATCTGTTACATTTCAGACCGGCTGAAGTTGAATCTTCTTGGCCTTGAGTGGGATGAAAAGTTGAATCTCCTCAAAGTTCCCTTGAAGTAGGTCCGCGACCGAGATCGAACAAGTCCAGGCCCACCATCATAGTCCGTTGAAGACATGATATGTTTCCCGAAACGAAAATTTGCCTGTCTTTCATGATAGCTTGGGCCATTGTACGAACTTCAAGGCAACGCCAAGCTTGCGACCAGGTGCTAAACCAGTGTTCAAAGCTAAATAGCAGGTACATATGCAGCCCTGTCAACCGTTGAGCAAGATATCGATCGACTGGAACGTGCCGGAGTCACAACAGCCTTCAACTACTCATCGTGGGCCGCACCTGTTGTCGCAGTGAAGAAAGCAAATGGCAAGGTACGCCTCTGCGCTGACTTCTCAACTGGTCTCAACGCCGCACTGGATGACCACCAGTACCCATTACCTGTACCGGAAGATATCTTTGCAAAACTGAATAGTGGCAAGTATGTTGCTAAGCTTGATCTATACGATGCCTACCTTCAAGTGAATGTTGAGGAAGTCTCGAGGGAGTTGTTGACGATCAACACTCATCGTGGGCTATTCTAGTACAACCGCTTGCCATTTGGAGTAAAAGCGGCGCCATCCATTTTCCAGCAGCTGATGGATACCATGCTAGCGGGCGTTGCTGGAACTGCTGCATATCTGGATGATATCATAGTTATGGGTCGAACAACAGAAGAATTATTTAACCGCCTGGATAAAGTGCTTGGTTGCATACAGTCGTACGGTTTTCGGATCCGTGAGGATAAATGTACATTTTTCACGACGATCATCAAATACCTCGGTTTTATCCTCGAAAAGGATGGACGTCGGCCAGATCCGGAAAACAAAGAAGCCATTAGAAAACTGCCTCCACCTACAGATCTACAGTCCTTGCGTTCCTTTCGTGGGCCCATCAACCCCTACAGCGCATTCTTGCCTAAGATGCACCGCCTGTGTGCCACGTCAAACAAGCTACTAGCCAAAGGCCAACCTTGGAACTAGACATCAGAATGCCTTCGAACGTATCAAGGAACTGCCGTCCTCAAACACTGACTCATTTTGATCCCTCCAAAGAGATTG